TCCATTTGGATGCAAAGCAGCTGATGCATTCGGGCGTTTGCTATTCCTATTCATGCAGCTTGACAGGCCTCTGTTTGGCAATCTCTTTATCCGTCCTGCAGGAACGCGGCTCGGCAGATGTCTATTTTCTCGTCTTGCAGAAGATGTTTTCCAATGGATATCTGTGTGTCTTTGTCCACGAAGCTATATAGAGAGCTTTATGGCAGTAGCTAGATCATCATTTTCCATCCACTTCATATCATCATCATTCTGTTGACTATCCTGCTTCTCGTAGTCTTTACCTCCATCGTCATCATATCTGTGTGATGATCTAGCTACTGTCACGAAGCTCTTTATATAGCTCTATGCTATAAACCACCAAATCCCATCCTCCAGAAACCAGAAGAAGCATCTCTATGGCATTTCTTTCACTTGCGGTTGATCACTTCTTCTCTCGTAGTCTGCGCCTTGATCAGATTCCCAATCCTTTCTATGTACTTTTGCGTGGGTCAAGGGTTTATCTTGGAGAGTGCCTTTTTAGACGGTTTCATGGTCAAAATATGTACCTCACTAGTAATTTTACGTAGTTTGATCATGTTTATTTGCTGAAGATAGCCCATGGTACTCATACTGTCTTCTTTTTTTCAGGACTGGCTCGTCACAGATCTCCAAATTGCGGACTAGGTAGAGGGTGGAAATACCAGAGGAATGTCAATCCCGGCATTCCCCCTACTATTTCCCTACTTCCCTAACAATTATTTAATTCTTCAAACAAAAAACAAGGCCAGGCTAGAACACACGATAGTACTCTAACTGAAACCATAACCAAAAATCAGAGCCTCTCCGATGCAACACCGAAAAAGGTGTGATCTCGGAGATTTACTTTCTGATAGAAGCCAGTCAGATTGGATTCCGGCGGTGGCAAGGCTAGTGGAGAAAGCGTCGAACTAAAAAGCCTATAAGAAGGTTAAAAGCCTAGGCAAGCCCCAGTCTCAGCTACGCCACGAGATAGTTCACAAAGCCTCATCTATTAGAGCTAATAAAGCGATGTGCTTGGAGTAACTACAATATATGTAAATTTCTCGATAAAGTTTCGGAGTAGATTAAGTTATGCTTGCGATGCTCTATAGATATCACGATCGGTTCTAATATAGTCAGTCCCTATCGCCGTTAAGATCAGGCCTACGATTAGGCATAAGAGCTAATCTGGTCCAAAACTCAAAGAATGCTCTGAAAGATACATGTAACACCAAGACACGGACTTATTGCCCGATTCTTCCATGATATTCAGATCGAGCGAAAAAAAAGTCGCCCCCCTCAAACGCGCATAGCCATCCAACGGGCAGCCACCAGCGGTAGCCGTTCGGATTGGATCTGGAGAGTCCACAGCGGAACAAGCGCAAACCAGTGGGGTTGCGAGATTCAGCGACTTTTGAAACGGCGATTCTGCTCGTTTGGTACGATTCCCGACGGGGGTTTCTTTTTTTTTTGGCTGTACTGGGATTGGTTGATTTATACAGACCAAAATGTAGCCTATTCTCTATTCTACTAAACCGGACAGGTGGGATCGGACTTTAAGTTTTGAATTTCTTTTTTTCTTCCTCTTTCTCCATGTCGAAGGCGTAATCGCCCCAATGTCGTATCTGAACTCCGGGATCATTCCGGAGCCTCGGATGACTTCCGTTGTTCTACAGACCTTGTTGGAGAGTGTTGATTCCAGTTTTTATATGGATTATATGTATAGATGAATTACGTATATATCCATCTACCCTATGCGATCTAATAAAACCGAATAGGACAAAGAAAGCTCCCCCCAATGATGAAATTCGTAACACAAGTCGCCCGTTACTAAATGCGTATTTTGCGCAGAAGCCAGCACCCATATCCTAATGTACAGGAACCCGTATTAATAAGAAGAAGCCGCTGGACAGAACAAATGAAATAAACAAGAAACAAGATCGCTAGATAAAAAACCAAGAGCCAGACAGGGCTCTGGTGGACGCCAAGTCGCCGACCCGATGTAAAAAGACAGAGTCGAAACAAGAACAGTCAACAGTCCTCGAGGAACCCTCTTCAGCCGCGTGCACTCCGCGGCAGTGAGTTCTGCGAAGACGAGTCGTGCATGATATCCGGCGCCCGGGGACCAACCATCCAGTCTTCCATAGCGAGCCATTCACTCCAGCTGCGCTCGGCGGCCTCGATCTCGGCGTCGAGAGCCCCCTGCAACGGCCGCAGGAACGGTATGGTCTCCAGCGGGGGAATATCGTAGTCCTTTTTCACGGAGGCCCAGCCGCCGCTCTTGGCTGCGAAGAGGTAGTTGCGGCGCTCTTGCTCGTGCATGGGTCCCACGCCACTGCCCCAGTCGTCGCCGAAGAAGCCGTGCAGCACGCCGGGGAAGTCCATGCCGGTTGCGACTAGGCGGCGGATGTAGGGGATCAATGAGATGGGGGGCGGCCCTGGGGGTTGTGTGCCGGGTGGTGGAGTTTGGTTGGAAGGGGTCGAGGTTGAGTTGAAGATTGGGTGAGGTTGGCGCTGGAAGGGGAGTCGGATGTTTAAGAATGTGGAGAGGGCTTGGACGGGGACGCTGTGCTGGGCGTGATCTAGGAAGTAGCGTTGACAGCTTTGATAGCGGGGGTACCATGCAAAGATATCGGAGTTGTCGTCTGACCCTGGCGAGGCGTCGGCTAGACCAATCACAGGGGCCGGGTCAATTTGTGGATGGGAGTTCATAGATGGGTGTAGTGAAGGTGAGTCCGAATAGGATGTTGAGATCGAGGTCGAGGTTGAAGTTGGAGCTGGAGTTGCAGTTTGTAGTCTTGGAGGATCTACTTGTCTATTTCTTTTCCCGATGCTTTGCTTAGTTCGTGTTCTCTCTCTCTTGTTGGTCTGTTCGGGGCTGCGCCTCTTTCCCGAGGTCTGGGAATCCAGTGGGGTCGAATTGCGGCCCCAAATTGAGTGAACCGGAGGGGTAGGTGGGTGAAAGGTAGATTGGGGAATGATTACTTGGAAAAAATATCCCTACCTCGACGAACTAGGAGAGAGACTCGATGTCGTGAAGGGGAGGTCGGGGAGGGCGGTGCAGAGCGGAACAGATCCCTGATGGTCCCGAGTCCGCCACGAGATTGGGGCTTGTTAATGGACATCTGTTAGGGAACCATCTAGGATGTTCAGGTAAGGATTGGGGGGAGGTTGTTCACGGAATACCCATTGGGGATATTATGTATGAAGCAAAAGAACCGAAGACATACATGTGAATTCCAATACCTAAAGAGGCAGAGGGAAAAGAAGTAGAAGAGGAACGAGAAGGGAGAATTGAAGTAAATTCGGAGAGAAAAAAAGATATCAGAATTGTTCTGGAACGTCCATAGAAGAGAAACGGGGTCTGTAGGACTAATAAGAGACGCACTCGACCTCTATACGGAGTATTTCTGAATCGGATCCATCGAGGACGGGTCTATCCGGTCAGGCCAATCATTCTGAGATCTGCTAAACCACGGGTCGACGGTGGATATCGATCTAGGGCAGGTTTTGGGAATTTTATTTGATATATTAATATATTACGCTTATATTACACCTTTACCACATACATTCCCGATACGGAAGACTCTCAATCCTGGATAACTCCCTATTTTGTCACAGATATCAATCACTTTGCACGTCTTGCACGTCCTATTGGCCCGGATCCGGGCATGCTAATAATACCTGTTCCTATAAAAGGCGTCCGGGTACATGACATAGCTGCATCGAAGCGTAACTAGATCAGGCTGGATCAGAAAGGGAAAAAAAGGGGGCCCCTTCAAGACCGGGACCTCCTGGTATGTGCTCAACCAATCTAAACCCGGGCTGGTACTCGCTGCAAGGCGCCTAGTCATGATTGGAATAATATTAGACCAGAACGCCTGCCTATTCCATGTCAGCAGTGCCCAAGTATTAAGTGGACGACTAGTCAGAGGATAGCGTGAAATAGATTGAACCCTGCAGTGTAGTTCGTTTTGGCATCACTTGACGCAATAATTGAATCAAGAATTACACTAAGAGTGACGTTTTTATAGTGAGTTTCATATCTAAATCAACCTCAGGGAGTTGATCTGTATGCTATGTACTCCTCCCTGCCAAGTTCCCACAAACCGGGTTCTTCAATATCGCATGCAGCACGCAAGACCCGGAATCCACTTTGTTGTTATCGACCCCGATCTTTCGATCCTGGAACATTCCTTATTGATTGTATGCATTGCAAAGCTACTTATTACACCTCGTTCCCAATTGTTCAGGGGCCGCAATATGACACAAGCTTACAAAGTCAGCCCCATATTGGCGTCACTAGAGCACACGCGCTAGGATCTACTTAAAAAAGGGCCAGAACATAGGAGAGCAGGGGCCACTCATCGAGCTGTGAGAGTCAGATCCCCCTTTAGCGGGGAGGTCAAGCTCTGACCCGATCGCGCCTCCCAGATAAGAAATGACAGAGCTGATCTTTAGGGGGGTTGACCATCCCGTACGGAATACGGAGCACTCCGTATGGAGTACGGCGACCTGCTTTATATTGTCTACTGATTAAGTATTCAAATCGCAGTTTGTGTGCGGGCGAGTTTTTGTAACTCCTTTTCTAGAGTCGATATGGGTCCTTTCAGCTGCACAAAATCTGGTGGCGCCGGGCCAGGGGTTAAGTAAAGGGCGGAACTATGTGCGTCGCATTCCCCTTTTGCGCTTTCTTTTTCGAGATTATACTGTCGGCTATTTCGATTGGGTCGAGTTTAATGTATTCATCACTGACCAATTCTAATATTGTGAATTCTAGCCATCCGATCAATCTATTCTCTCTTCCCCGTGGAATTCGCCACATGCGGAGCTCCAAGCTGATCCACTCGTTTGCCATTTGACAGGTGACGGGGCGATTCTTTACAATATATGACATGTGTCCCTATTGAGCTAGGACTGCAGTTCGAGTCAGCCAGTCGGAATCACGAACTGGCAAGAAGTGTGATCACGAATCACAGCCGGAGATGCTCTTGCCAATTCGATCATAGTGCGCACGCTGCACGGTCTCGCCGATGTCTATATGCGAAGACCACAATATCCTCCAAGACGGTAGTTTGGTATACCCGGACTAGTGACAACCCATTGCCATTCTTGCGTCGGAGCGGAGCCAACCCAGAACAGTCATGACACAACTCAGCCGACGCCATTGGGCTGCTAGAGGATATAGCTTGTCTCAACTCGAGCGCGACGACAACTAGTACGCACGCAGTATCCACGCTCAGTTCCGCAGATACCCCTGGAGAGGTTGCGGAGCGGGTAGATAGATTAAGGGGAATCTCAAGCTGCTGCCCAATCACCACACTACCATACCCTATGCCATTGTTATAAAGCATTTGAAACAAGCCGGTCTGTATGGATATGTGTCGTTCCAAGACAGAAACAGTATGGTCGCATGACCAAGTCCTCTGCACTGCAGCTGGTGGATATCCGGATAAAGCTCCGCAGCGATTTGGCGACCGGGCTTCGTTGCCAAGAGCGTACGAGTACAGACATGGGTTCCCGCCGACCGCCATACTGGTTATGTCAGAAGCGTCGAATTATGCCGGTGGTGAGTAGGTGTCACAACATCGCAACTTGCCACGCGCGATCAATGCATCCTGAGCACATGTGTCGTGGCGAAGGACATATGTACCACACCAGTCCCAAGATGGGAAAAACGGTGAACGGTGAACGTTGGACCCCCTTCGCGACAAGATCGCCAGCGTTTATATATCCCTGCAGGGTCGAAAACGGTATATCAACCCACACCCGACAGCCGACACGTGTCACCGCACATCTCTAGCAAATCAACATCCCGACATGAATAAGAAGAGAAACAATAATAGCAAACAGCGCGAAGATCATCGCATTATCTAATCCATCTCCTCCATCTGGGCATCCTTGTCCACTTTCGTACATGCCATGACTCGTTGTGTAATCTCGTAACCCTCTACGACTTTGCAATGATGCAAGCGAGAGATGAGGATTTCTACAGACTGTAACTCAACTTCTTCTAGGTTCATGCTAGACATGGATAATCCCAACTTCCAAGCTCTCCACAAACAGGGCTTTGCAAATTCTCGCTTCAAAACTCCGTACTCCGCTACTTTCTTTATATGTACCCCGCGAATAGCGCGACAGTGGCGATCACTAACCCACTCGGCCGGCAGAAACGAACGCAAGGCCCCAGCTGACGATCCCGTGTAAACCGTGTGTCATGGGCGCACGGTGTCTCCGATAGGGAAATATTGGACGAATGGGAAATTTGCTACTGTCATGGACTCGTGCTGGTGTGCGGGATCGCTTGTTGCGGAGAACGCCGTTTTCCTGGTCTGGGCTGATCTGGGGGAATATAATGCATAGTTGATACTTCGTATGCTATCCATAGATAGCATCGATATATGTGTACATATTTTTGAATGGAGTTTAGGTGTGTTGATGGTGACTGGGATGGGGTTTTATGCGCTTGGACATCGTGGTGTCGACGAGTTGAGTTAGTGTCATGATGGGGTTAGCGTGGAAGTGAGGCTCATGTTATTTCCACGTGGCTTGGTTGAAACGCTGATGGATCTGTACTCCGTATATAGATCGGTATGGAAGTGATAGGTTGGGCTACCTTTATACACACTGTCCCATAGATATGTGGTTGTTAACTAAACCCATGTCTGTTTGAACGGTAAATATATGGTGGACCATGCTTTAAGGCGTGCATTGACCAGATGAATCCAGCCCTGGAGATTAATCATGTTCATAGCGGAGAATACTTTACGTTATACGGAATATGTACATTATTTCGACGTATATCAGAATGAACAGATTTCAATATCAGTAAAGAATACCCTAGAACCAGTTGTGATATACACAGATTGCCATTCGTCAGATATCACGTCATGGCAAGTCCAGAGCACAAGGACGTCCAATTACAGAATATTTATGCCAAAAATCCAAGAATCTCTACAATAGCAAGTGGAATAAGTGAAACATGGAGACGCTAGACAAGCTAAGAGATCTATCCGACGAACTAAAAGGCCCAAAACGGGTCTCCACGTTGCAACCCTCTGCAAGCACGTTGTCGAACCCACAAGATCCAACATCCGAATCTGCGAGATAAGAACGCATATGCAGACGCTAAGTAACGGGAACAGTCCACAGTCAACCCTGAGACTAGAGAGCTCTAACGGAAATAAGCTTCTGGATCTGCAAGGGGAATCCACTGGGTCCTGAGGGTCCCAAGGTTGTCCCACGGGCCACATGTGGTCATGTGCGAGTATGAATTGGAGGTCGACTGAGGCGAACTCTCGTGCGAGTACGGAGTAGTTATATATCAGATCATATCACCGGGACCTCGGGAATCAAAAAGACGGAGCATCCCGTGTGATAAGTTCTACATTTGGCTTCTCGGTGAGGATTCCCTCGCAACCCCAGGAAGCAACACGCAGCCTCCGCAAATCGCTATCAACAAGGAGTGGAGAGGCGCGTCTTGGTCTGGGTTTTGGCGGAGAGCTGCAGCGGGCACCCGTTCGATTGGTGGACCGTGGCATGATCTAGGATCTAGCAATGTGCAAAGGATCGTGATGTTGGCATTTGTTTCTTCCTTTCTATTTTTTTATATATTTTATTTGCATCGTATGATCGTTATCCTCTTACTCCGTAGAGGCAGTCGAATCCTGCAACATATTTCCTTAAGATTAGAATAATCTAGAGCTGAGATTAAAGGTACTCCGAAGTACTTCCACGGCAGCGCCGACCATCGGGGCTCCAATGCGGTTAACCGGGTCTTGGCATCACACGGGATTGGTGCCTGACCCACGGGGAAAAGGACAAACCCTGGACAGTCCGAGATGACTATTCGGGGGCAATTGACTGGACCGGGATTTGGTGCGGGTATTCGATATTCCATAGATTTGACTACTCCTTGGATGTATGAATATGAGCATACTGTATGTAGCAACTTTTTTTGATCTCATTCTGACTAGATTTAGGTCTGGAATTACCCCTCCCTCCCTCTACCCCTCTACCCCTCAGTTCAACTGATCCAGTGGGGCAAAGGACGAGCCGTAGGGTGTAGATAAAGGAAAAATGAGTAAAAAGTGTTAGAAAGCAAAGACGATCAGATAAGCTCGGTAAGCTAAAAGTGGCAGGCCCCGTTTTGGGTGCCGGTTTGGGTATAGTGGGCACGTGACCTAGCCTGCAGCCGAGCCAAATTGCCGAGTTGAGTGGCGGAGACGAGTTTTATTTTTTATTATTGTTATTATTTGATTATTTTATATTTCATCAATCCATTGATAGCATAAGGATATCCAGGATAGCTGGAAGATATTATGTTGTACTTCAGAGTAACTACTAAATGCACAGTCCACGCATGCATTAAAGGTTCAGCCTCCTAACAAGGTTACATTCACTTCAATTATATTTTTTTCACCTCTCGGATCGGTCCTCTCCGAGAATACGGATCGCGGAAGAGATATTCACAGACAAGGAAGATTTAGGAAGAAACCACGGGCTATGATTGATGGGAAGATTCGAGGTAGTCCAATGTGGGCAAGATAAGCCAAATTCTGTGCAAATTCTGTGACCTTAAACCATAAGATAACATTGTTCGGGCCCCGAACTTCGGACGTGCTTCCCACGGAAACCACTGGAAACCATTGGGTTTCATCTTTCGCTTGGGATCTTCTCCTTCCAATTCGTGCAACCTGGTCTTCTGGCATGGTCGTCGACTGTAGGCTCATCGACCAACTCCCGTCCCTTTTCCCCCCATCGTCCGGAATCTGTCGTCCGACTCCGGCTTGGAGTCTGGCTCTCCACATTTCTATATATTTGTACAATCATCCCCTTCCATCCCTCCTTCTTCCTCCATCTACTCTCTAAAATCTCAATTGTCTTATACTCTGCTCGTGGGCAATTTCTAATATCATAATCACATCAGATCACTGCCTAGCATTGATCTTTACCCTACCTAAAAGCAGAGTAACCGAGACTAAAAACCCGCCGAAATGATCCAGAACCTCCCCTTCGAGCCTGAGTTCGAGCAGGCCTACAAGGGTATGTCTCTTCCCTTTCCCTTGTCCACGCCAATGTCATATCACAAATTTTGCCCCGACTTAATTCCTTTACCGTCGGCATCTTCCCGGCGTGCGGCTCCACAATTTCGGGGTGACTCAGCTAACATTCCCCGAAACAGAGCTCGCCTCCACCCTCGAGAACTCCACTCTTTTCGAGAAGAAGCCCGAGTACCGCAAGGCTCTCCAGGTTGTCTCCGTCCCCGAGCGCATTATCCAGTTCCGCGTTGTCTGGGAGGATGATCAAGGCCAGGTAAGAGTTTTCGAAATCTCCGATCAATTGCCACATTCTAACTCCCCCTCTTTCAGGTCCAAATCAACCGCGGATACCGTGTCCAGTTCAACTCCGCTCTCGGTCCCTACAAGGGTGGCCTCCGCTTCCACCCCACCGTGAACCTCTCCATCCTCAAGTTCCTCGGTTTCGAGCAGATCTTCAAGAATGCCCTGACCGGCCTGAACATGGGCGGTGGCAAGGGTGGATCCGACTTCGACCCCAAGGGCAAGAGCGACAGCGAGATCCGCCGCTTCTGTGTCTCCTTCATGACCGAGCTGTGCAAGCACATCGGTGCCGACACCGACGTTCCCGCCGGTGATATCGGTGTCACCGGCCGCGAGGTTGGCTTCATGTTCGGCCAGTACAAGAAGATCCGCAACCAGTGGGAGGGTGTTCTCACCGGCAAGGGCGGCAGCTGGGGTGGTTCCCTCATCCGTCCCGAGGCTACCGGCTACGGTCTCGTCTACTACGTCGACCACATGATCAAGTACGCCTCCGGTGGCAAGGAGTCCTTCGCCGGCAAGCGCGTTGCCGTCTCCGGCTCCGGAAACGTCGCCCAGTACGCCGCCCTCAAGGTCATCGAGCTCGGCGGCTCCGTCGTCTCCCTCTCCGACTCCCAGGGTGCCCTCATCCTCAACGGTGAGGAGGGCTCCTTCACCGTCGAGGAGATCAACGCCATTGCCGCCATCAAGGTCGAGCGCAAGCAGATCTCCGAGCTCGCCACCGTGGCCACCTTCAGCTCCAAGTTCAAGTACATTCCCGGTGCCCGTCCCTGGACCAACATCACCGGCCGCATCGATGTCGCTCTCCCCTCCGCCACCCAGAACGAGGTCTCCGGCGACGAGGCCAAGGCTCTCATCGCCGCTGGCTGCAAGTTCATCGCCGAGGGCTCCAACATGGGCTCCACCCAGGATGCCATCGATGTCTTCGAGGCCCACCGCACTGCCAACCCCGGCCCCGCTGCCATCTGGTACGCCCCCGGTAAGGCCGCCAACGCCGGTGGTGTCGCCGTGTCTGGTCTCGAGATGGCCCAGAACTCCGCCCGCGTCAACTGGTCCCGCGAGGAGGTTGACTCCCGTCTTAAGAAGATCATGGAGGACTGCTTCAACAACGGCCTTGCTACTGCTAAGGAGTATGTCACCCCTGCCGAGGGCGTGCTTCCTTCCCTCGTGGCTGGCTCCAACATTGCTGGTTTCAC